CTCCAAAAGTTCTCTTTATAGCATTGGCAGAGGAGGGTTGTAAGGAATCTTCATGCCCAGAACAGGAGGAACAGCACTCATCACATACTTAGCCTCATACACCTCATGGTTTAGTGTCTCCACAAGGATATTTTCTCCTGTCTGGTCAATGTGGGCCACAGGCCTCTCCAGCTTCACCAGATCCCTAAGGATGTCCATTATCCGCTCACTTATTTGACCAGATCCACCCACAACTTTCCTCTCCTGCCCTCCGCTGGTTGTTGAGGTGATCCTGGTGGTGCCTCCACACTGCTTCACATACACAGAGACCAGAGCAGAGACCGCACGGGCTCCGCAGTGACACACGGGTTACAAAGAGGGTGGCAGAGTTTCTTGCAGACTCGGTCCAGCAGATCCTGTCTAGCAGCTCCTTCATCGTCACGCGGTCCCACTTCTGCAAGGGGCTCCTTCCATGGGGCCTCACTGGGAATTTCTCTTCCCATGTCATCTGTTGTCCGCCAAAGGTTGTTATGATCTAGGTAGGCAATTGGATTCCACACAGGTGGGAATGCGCCCCGGGATTTGTACAATTTGCCCTTTACGAAGTGGATCTCATACTCCCCGTCATTCACTTTGTAAGCCTCCAATCCTAGCTCCTTGGCTAATCTTAAGACATGACTCTGGGTTGGCCCAACAAAGGATCCTCCAAGGTCTACATATGTAGCCATTTGATTCCTAACAGTGAAGTCCTGCCTCCCGCATGGTCCCGGGCTTCCAGCACCACCACATTCAGGCCAGAATCATGCAGAAGCCTGGCTGCTGCCATACCTGACATGCCGCCCCCACCACAACCACGTCGCATTGGCTGCCCGTGATGCTCGCTTCTCTCCAGGCCTCCCGGGTGCCGCTGCTCTGGTCTCTAGGTCTCCGCCCCTGTCGGCCACGCTGGCAAGTTTGTTTTTTAAAAAAATGTGACTGGCCCTGGCCGGTTTGGCTCAGCAGTTAGAGTGTTGGCCCATGGACCACAGAGGCCTGGGTTCGGTTCCCGCTAAGGGCATGTACCTCGGTTGCAGTTTGTCCCTGCCCCTGGTTGGTCGTGCGGGTGGCAGCCACTCGATGTGTCCCTTTCACATCGATGTTTCTCTCTCTCTCTCTCTCTCTCTCTCTCTCTCTCTCTCTCTCTCTCTCCTTCCCACTCTATCTGAACAAAATATCAAAAAATGTCCTCGGGTGAGGATAGAAAAAAAAATGTGACTAAGTAGGTGAAGGATGAAAGAACAGGGCTCCCCAGTGATGCCACCAACCAGCGCCCTTGGCACACCCTCAGAACACAGCTAGCCCAGCTCCTCCTCCAGTCCTGGGGTTCCAGGGAGGACATGCAGGGAATTCACACGCCTCCAGTGTCTCCCCAGCCGAAATGTGTTCTGATGCTCTGACTGTTAAACCGGTTTAAGAAAAAAGAAGCTACAGATGGGCCTCAATAAAACCGCAATTTTATTAGCTTTGCTTCTTGTAAACAAGGACTATTAAATGCTAAACGGCTTCCTACAGCCTCTCAGTAAGTGACGGTTTGTCTGATCGCTGTTTCAACTTCCTACAGAGTTTTACTTTGTTTTGCCAATGAAAGAACATGTTTGGAAATGTTTGCATTGGCCACAAGAGACCAGGAAGCTTACAGGTACGCAGATGCCCTGGCAGTTGACACAGAACGGTGCTGGCGTGGGCCGGGAGGAGGTGCTGATGGTGTGATCAGGGACTGGGAGGGAGAGGTGGAGGGGACAGTCTGGACCGAAGGGGGAGCCTCATGGCTTTCAAAGGAAAATCAGTCCCAGGGTCCCTCCAGCTCCAGGGCCTGCAGGCTTGTCCTCAAGCAGGGCATCTTGTCAGCACGCAAGCTCAGCAGCACGCGTGTCTGGGGCCGACCAGGTGTGGTGAAGGCTGGGAGGTGAGTGAGGCCGGTCCTCAGGGACCTGTTGAGAACACTGTGCCACAGCTGTGATACATTCCACACAAACTTCTTATGGAATTCAGGATGCACGCGTGCGCACACACACACACACACACACACACGCAGCTTCCAGGAAGTATCGCTGAGGATGTCACCAACAACAAAATGGCTTCAGCCAATTCAAATGTGCATTCACCTGTTGGAGTTCAGAGGAACCTGGAAACAAACTGGTGCAAACATTTATTTTAATCAAGTCTCTTGGGGCATGTTTATTTCCCTTAAAAATGAAACAAGCAGGAATATTACAACATACTTTCCCCACATGGATCTCCAGGAGACTGTTTCTGAGCACAGGGTAATGATCGCGGGCCCAGACCCAGGCGGCCTGGTTGCACCGGGGAAAACCACCCTCCAGAGGCACGCACAACACAGGCCAGTCCACGAGCAAGCAAAACCCAACAGGATGGATGAAAGACACAGTTCAGCAGTTATTTTTGCACTGACCTATAACTCCATTCTGAGTTTCAAATTAGTGCAAACAATACTTATTAAAAGGTGTTAAGCACAAGAATGAAAACTCTAGACAGGAAGGTGCATAATCATTAAATTCTCCCAAATAAAATAAAATACTGAATGCAGAATCTACGGTATTGCATGCTATGTAGTTGATTTTCATTCATTTTCAACATTTTGCAAGAATTTTTACTTTCTAGATAACCACATATTCAAAGAGCATCTTTATAATTACAGGTTGTGATTAATCTTTTTCTACAAAAATAGATTGCTTAAAAATTTATACCAAGGTGCTTTTCTTTTCTATAAATATTTTAAGAGTTGTTAAAATCAGAATGCCAAATAGAATCATTGAAATCAATCCACGTAGCCCTGGCCGATTTGGCTCAGCAGTTGGAGCGTCGGCCTTTGGACCAGAGAGTCCCAGGTTTTGTTCTCGCTAGGGGCACGTAACAAAAAAAAGAAAAAAAATCAATCCATGTAGTCAAAATACTTTGTATGTAAAATTCTAGCAAAAAGCTTGTCACTTAAGTGAAACATTCATTGTCCAGTAAATGATCTGCTCTGTTTTTATGTCCTAGTGGGGTGGAGATAGTCCTAGAACAGCAAAAGATGGATCCTTTAAGGTCTGGCTTAAAACAGCGCAGCTGTCTGTGGGGTCTTTCTCGTCTCCGATCTGTTCTCCGCAGAAACGCGCAGAGCCCGCCTGGGATGTCGGGGCTGGACGCGGGGCGCTGCGGGAGCGGCGATCGCTGCCTAGGGCGACAGCGGCTGCACTTTTGGGGGTCTGTGCTGGCGCGTGCTGCCCGCAATGGAATGACGTCTCCGCGAGAAACAGCAGCCGCAGAACTGAGACCGGCGCGGGGAGCTCCCTGTTTCATGGGGACGATAGAAATATTCTGAGACAGTTATTTCTAAAGGGGCTAGTTTCCAAAATAGTTTTCTGATATAAATGTTTTCCTTTTAAAAGGCCAGTTTTCTTGCCCACAAACAAGAAAGGAGCGCGAGAAACCAGTGTCTGTCTGCTCCCCACTCAGTGCTGTGCCGTGGGGGGCGCTGGACTCCGTGACACTGTCCCATGAAGCATCGGTCACTTTAGAAACAACTACTTATATTTCACGTTCCTTTAATTAAGTCTCTCAAGCCCTGGCTGGTTTGGCTCAGCGGTTGGAGCGTCGGCCTGCGGTCCGGAGAGACCCGGGTTCGGTTCCCACTAAGGGCATGTACCTCGGTTGCAGTATGTCCCCGGCCCTGGTTGGTCGTGGGGGAGGCAGCCACTCGATGTGTCCCTTCACATCGATGTTTCTCTCTCTCTCTCTCCCTCTTTCTCCCTCCCACTGTATCTAAAAATAAAATGGAAAAATGTCCTCGGGTGAGGATAAAAAAAATAATAAGTGCACCCAGGATAAACCAGTCAATCTCATTTTATCATTTGGTTATTGATCAAGGTTTCAATTACCGTCTTTACATGTTCTCTGACGCACTCCCTGCATTTCACAGCCAAGTAATCTGATCAAATCAGGTGGCACACCCACCTGCCCCCAGCCTCGGAGCGGGAGCAGGGACTGAGGCCAGCTGAGGAAGAGAATGGACCTTTTGGTTTGGGTTCAATTAAAGTCAAGTATTCACCGCCGGTTAAATTATGTTTCTCTCTCTCTTAGGTAAGACGACCATTAAAGTACTTGAGAAAAATCAATAAAGGCAATAACAACAAACTATATAATTCTACATCTGGGCTGCCAGAACCAACAGAAACATATGCTCACAAAAACGCACAAAAGGCCAGTGTCACTGGCCACTGACCCTCACACAGGACAAGTCTTGGTGATTAGGTACTTAGATTAGATTATCTGGGTTTTCCCCTGCCCTTTAGGAAAGATGGAAATTTCAAAGCCCTCAAAGTGCTAACTGCACAAGTGCGGGTATAAACTCTTGGGTAAAATATGAACACTGGTGTTTCTGTAGGGTTAGTATGGCCAAAATAAGGCTCACCTTAGGGTGATAAATACATACGACATGAGACTCTGGGATGGATGATGGGTTCTGAACTCCGGGCACATTTTGCAAATAAAGTAATGGATTTTTAATAGGAAAACTGCAAGGGAAGCAGAGAGACCACAATGTTAAAGCTATTTCTTCATGAGGCCTCCTCCTGGCTCAGTAGCCGTCTGCACCACGCATTTTTAGGAGGCCTTCTCTATAAGATGTCTTAAAACTTACTATAAATTAAAAAAGAAATACTTTGATAAAATGCTAAAAATAGAAATAATAAAGTGATGTCTGAAGAACCTAAACATGCAGAAAGTATCTCCCATGACTGAATTAAATATGCCCAAGGTAAGTAAACGGCTTCCTCATGAACAGATATCACATCTCAATGAAAAAGGAACAGTGCAGAAACTTGGAAAGTGAGCCCCACACAGCCCTGGGAGGCAGGGGCCACAGTGTCCGGCTGCCCACAGACGGGGCAGCAGTCCCCACTCCTCAGCACGTCGGCACGGGACAGGAGGGGTGCGCACGGCAGCCACCTCCGCACGGAGAGGAGTCTGATGCAGGTGAACGGAGTTCTGAAAAGATGCACCACTGTGTTTATAACTTTTTATTTAAACCTCTCAGATGTCATCCATGCTTATAACGCAGAAGAAAATCAGAAATCTTGAGATAAAAACAGAATTTTAGTTTCTCTTTCCTAAAGGTAAAATTTAAAAAAGAGACACTGAAACCCTGGATAACACGTGTAATTAATGAGGAAGAAGAACATGCCGAGGAGTCACCCTGCCGGCGGACGTACACGGGCAGTGCGAGGTGAGCGGATGGCCGGTCGCCACACTCAGTCCAGCTTTCCGTTCTGAAGACTGCTGTTGGCTTTCTCTCGTCTGAAGAGAGAGAGGACTTTAAGGCAGCCCTTTGAGATTCTGATCATCCACATGACGTTCATCACGTCCAGAACAGCGCAGGTGGCCACCCAGGAGCTCTGCACCAGCAGCCCGAGCCTCGCGTAGGCCTCCGTGCCCAGCATGGAGTGCACGAAGACGTAGAAGGACGGTATGGGGGCAATCCTCACGGTGAAGAACACCACGGTCATGAGGATGCCATTGATGACGTTGGCCTTGGAAAACTTGGGATACTTCAGAGCTTCGAGGAACCACCTGGAAAAATGTAAGAAACATCACCTTCACTGTGCATCTCTGAGGATTAAGCATTTCATTTTAGTTTTTAAAAGGCAGTAACATCCCCCCGAGATTCATACGAAGAGGCAAAGGACGTCAGTAGAAATAACAACAGATGGGTGTTGACAGGTTCCATCTGTCCAGTTGTGTGAAGAGGAGGGCACAGAAACAAGGGTGCCCGGTGGCCATGAGCACCCAGGGCCCAGAACATGGTCTCTAACACCAGCCTCCAACACAAAGAACCAGGTGGCCTGAGAAGTAGCTGGCTGAATGCTGGGACAGAGAAGACACCATCCACACCACAGGACTCTGCAGTGCCAGACAAAGACAGTGCTCAAAAGACACAAGGCTGAGGTCGTGTCAACGGGGCATGAAAACCAATTGAAAGAGCTCCTAAAGGCAAAACGGCAACAATTTCAACCACCCAGTAATAAAGGAGTATTGGATTGTAACCATGGGGTCCTCAAACCCTGAGCCCAAAGCCCCAAACGTCTCTCCAGATGCTTGTGCTGCACACTGGGGTGCAGAGTGTCCCCTCGCCCTCTCCAAGGCTAACGGCTTCCTCACCCACGCTCTGGGACACTAGCCACTCAAGAGGCCCCTTCTCCCTGCTCCATCCGGTTCTACATCCAAAGATGGGTTCTTTCTCCTCCATTACCAACATGCTCCATCCTTCCTGATTCAAACAGCTCTCCTCTGCTTGTGGACCATCCCACTGTCCTTCACAACTCCGTGCAGCAGGACTGCATTCCCCTCCCAAGACATCTGTCACTGGCGGCATCCCCACAGCCAAGACAGTGGCTTGGGCTTGCCCGGGGCCCTTGTCCCAGATGGCCTTTCCACAACATATGGTGCTGCTGGCCACCAGCCTCCCTTCTGTCCTCTCCTACCTCCCTAGATACCTTCCTCAGTCTCTGCTCTCCCGCCCGTCCTTCCACAGTCTGTGCTTGTCAGAGACACCTCCTCTCATCCACCTGCTCTACACCAGAGCCCTTCACCCCTCAGGACCACCTGCTCTACACCAGAGCCCTTCACCACTCTCAGGACCACCTGCTCCCATCCACCTGCTCTACACCAGAGCCCTTCACCACTCTCAGGACCACCTGCTCTACACCAGGGCCCTTCACCACTCAGGACCACCTGCTCCCATCCACCTGCTCTACACCAGAGCCCTTCACCACTCTCAGGACCACCTGCTCCCATCCACCTGCTCTACACCAGAGCCCTTCACCACTCTCAGGACCACCTCCTCCCATCCACCTGCTCTACACCAGAGCCCTTCACCACTCTCAGGAACACCTGCTCCCATCCACCTGCTCTACACCAGAGCCCTTCACCACTCTCAGGACCACCTGCTCCCATCCACCTGCTCTACACCAGAGCCCTTCACCCCTCAGGACCACCTCCTCTACACCAGAGCCCTTCACCCCTCAGGACCACCTCCTCCCATCCACCTGCTCTACACCAGGGCCCTTCACCCCTCAGGACCACCTGCTCTACACCAGCCCCTGCTCTACACTCAGAGCCACCTCCTCCCATCCACCTGCTCTACACCAGGGCCCTTCACCCCTCAGGACCACCTGCTCCCATCCACCTGCTCTACACCAGGGCCCTTCACCCCTCAGGACCACCTCCTCCCATCCACCTGCTCTACACCAGAGCCCTTCACCACTCTCAGGACCACCTGCTCCCATCCACCTGCTCTACACCAGAGCCCTTCACCACTCTCAGGACCACCTGTTCCCATCCACCTGCTCTACACCAGGGCCCTTCACCCCTCAGGACCACCTGCTCTACACCAGAGCCCTTCACCACTCTCAGGACCACCTCCTCCCATCCACCTGCTCTACACCAGGGCCCTTCACCCCTCAGGACCACCTGCTCTACACCAGGGCCCTTCACCACTCTCAGGACCACCTCCTCCGATCCACCTGCTCTACACCAGGGCCCTTCACCCCTCAGGACCACCTCCTCCCATCCATCTGCTCTACACCAGGGCCCTTCATCACTCAGGACCACCTCCTCCCTTCCACATCCTCTACACCAGGGCCCTTCACCCCTCAGGACCACCTGCTCCCATCCACCTGCTCTACACCAGGGCCCTTCACCCCTCAGGACCACCTGCTCTACACCAGAGCCCTTCACCACTCTCAGGACCACCTGCTCCCATCCACCTGCTCTACACCAGGGCCCTTCACCCCTCAGGACCACCTGCTCTACACCAGAGCCCTTCACCACTCTCAGGACCACCTCCTCCCATCCACCTGCTCTACACCAGGGCCCTTCACCCCTCAGGACCACCTGCTCTACACCAGGGCCCTTCACCACTCTCAGGACCACCTCCTCCGATCCACCTGCTCTACACCAGGGCCCTTCACCCCTCAGGACCACCTCCTCCCATCCACCTGCTCTACACCAGGGCCCTTCACCCCTCAGGACCACCTGCTCTACACCAGGGCCCTTCACCACTCTCAGGACCACCTCCTCCGATCCACCTGCTCCACACCAGGGCCCTTCACCACTCTCAGGACCACCTCCTCCCATTCACCTGCTCTACACCAGGGCCCTTCACCCCTCAGGACCACCTGCTCTACACCAGGGCCCTTCACCACTCTCAGGACCACCTCCTCCGATCCACCTGCTCCACACCAGGGCCCTTCACCACTCTCAGGACCACCTCCTCCCATCCACCTGCTCTACACCAGGGCCCTTCACCCCTCAGGACCACCTGCTCTACACCAGGGCCCTTCACCACTCTCAGGACCACCTCCTCCGATCCACCTGCTCTACACCAGGGCCCTTCACCACTCTCAGGACCACCTCCTCCCAGCCACCTGCTCTACACCAGGGCCCTTCACCACTCTCAGGACCACCTCCTCCGATCCACCTGCTCTACACCAGGGCCCTTCACCCCTCAGGACCACCTGCTCTACACCAGGGCCCTTCACCACTCTCAGGACCACCTCCTCCCATCCACCTGCTCTACACCAGGGCCCTTCACCCCTCAGGACCACCTGCTCTACACCAGGGCCCTTCACCACTCTCAGGACCACCTCCTCCCATCCACCTGCTCTACACCAGGGCCCTTCACCACTCTCAGGACCACCTCCTCCGATCCACCTGCTCTACACCAGGGCCCTTCACCCCTCAGGACCACCTCCTCCCATCCACCTGCTCTACACCAGAGCCCTTCACCACTCTCAGGACCACCTCCTCCCTTCCACATCCTCTACACCAGGGCCCTTCACCCCTCAGGACCACCTCCTCCCATCCACCTGCTCTACACCAGGGCCCTTCATCACTCTCATGACCACCTCCTCCCTTCCACATCCTCTACATCAGGGTATGTCACCCATTCTCGGGGGCTGGGCACCCTGCACACACCTCTGGCTTCAAGTCCTCTCAGAAGCTCTACTGGTGCTTCCAAATCTCTTCACCTGACTAGTCACAAGTTCTCAAATGTGCCTAAAATCAACATGCCTGAAGTCCATGCTTTCCTCCATGTCTAGCCTCCCCTCCCCCCATGATCACCGCCACAGAAAATAGCCCATTTCCTTTCCAACCTCCCAACCTTACTTAGTGGGACCATGATGGGCTCTGTCACCCACGTCAGGCACAGACGTCGTCCTAGACTCTTCTTGCAGCCTTACGGAGCTCTGTCCGCTGACCTTCACCTCCCATCCCACTGCCAGCGTGGTCCTCCGCATGCTGACCTCCATGCCCACCGCAAGCCCGCTGGGTCCCCTCTCAAGCCTTTCTCTCCGATGTCCCAAGTCCGACACCACCATTAGCCCGTTCTACAAGCGCTTCACATACTCCAAATTCTGGATTGTCTGGAAAGGTGATTACCAGCAAATCCTGACTTAAAGGCTGTGCCCTTCGGGGTCCTGTGCAACCCCTGAGCTTATCTTCTGCCAATATCCGTCTGTGTCTAGAGCCTGGTCCCTAAGCCTGTCTCTTTGAAAGGAAAAGACCACAGATGAGTTCAGGTGATATTTATCTACTTGTCCTTCTTCCCCCCATGTCAGAGGACCAGTGATCTGTGGGAACCGTATCTTCCTGGCTAACTCGGTCCCTCTCAGACAGCGACGGGGCCAGCGGCGGGAGACTGCACTGACGCGGAGGAGGGCCGCTCTTCACGCCACCCGCTGCTGAGCGCTGGACCGAGACGAAGGGGGCAGAGTCTGCCACCGCCTCAGCCCCCGAGAAAAACCCGCTTGGAGCCTGCTCACTTCCTCCCCGGCCCTTCCGCTGCGGTCTGACGCTTCAGTTATGTCTCCTGGGCGTTCTCCGTGGAGCGCTGCTCACTCCACCACTTACCAGCAGTGTACAAACATCTGCTGTTTTTATTATCCAGTCTAACTTGTTGGTATTATCTGTTCTAATTCGTGTTTGGAAAGAGGTGAGAGCTTGTGTGCAGGTAGAGAAAGAGAACCAGTGAGGAGAGGGCACGGGAGACAGAACAACCCCCCTGGAGCAGTTCGCTGAGCCGAGGGCTGGGCAGTAGAGGGTCAGAGACCAGGCGCCGGGACAGCTGCAGGCCCGGGGACACTGTGCATCCGAGAGGAATGGGGAGAATTTTAACGAGTGTCCCTGTGAGCAACAAAATGGATCTTTGTGGACGACCTTGGAAAGAGTCCAGTGAGAATTTGGACGCTGCCCTGCTTCTGGAACAGTTCAGCACAGAGCCTGGATGGGAGCTGACCCTGCTTCTGTCTTGGTGGCAAATGTGATTCTTTCAGGCGTGTAAACATTTATATTAACGAACATTAGCTCTGGAGATTCAGGAGTTCGGGAGCCTCATTCAGAGAAGCTGCCTTCCACTGCCATGTCATTTGTTGAAATGCAGAGATAAGTAAGAAACACAAAAAAGAGAGACAGAACTTTACAACAAAATGTATCCATCCTGAAGCTATACTGTCTGTCGCTATCATGGAGCACAGTGAGGGGCCCAGCCCAGCCAGGAAAGAGGTGGTTTTCCAGCTGAGCCTTGGGAGATGACGCAGAGCACATGGACAAGCTGCAGAGAGAAGAGATTTGGGGGGAAGACGTGGCGGAAAGAGAAGACACCCTCCTTGGAGGCTCTGTCCTGGAGAATGGGGGCCACGGGTGGACGCGAGCTGCTGCTGCAGGCGTCCGTGCTGTGCTCTCGGCGGTCAGCACGGAGGCTGCCCGAGCAGGGAGGTGATCGGGGACAGGATGGGGCAGGCCAGCAGAGCTCCATGCAGACCCGGGCAGTGACACTCAGTGACGGGCTCTGGGGGCTCTGCCATCTCTGACACACAAATGGAGTCTGCCTGGAGCGTGAAGGCAGCCGTGGTAAACAAATGATTCTAGAGTCAGAGGAAGGGAGAGGGAGAGAGAACATCGACTGGCCACCTCCTGCATGCCCCTCACTGGGGATCAGGCCCACAACCTGGGCATGTGCCCTGACCAGGAATTGAACTGGTGACCTCTTGGTGCATGGTTGACACCCAGCCACTGAGCCACACTGGCCGGGTACAAATGAGACTTAATAAAAATAGGCAAGGAGTTTGGCCTGTGAAGCCTTGGTTGCTGGACACCCAACCCGTTCAAAAGAACTTTCTAAAACAATAAAAATGTGCCACATGGGCTATGAAGCATGTGAAAGCATGTGACAAGCTAGGCCAAGGAACTGAATTTTTAATTCACATAATTAAATGTGAGCAGTCACACTGGGCTCCGCTGGGCAGGACGGCGATGGCGGCCAGCACCACGGCCTGGGCTGGGTGGCGAGGTGGGCACGGACGGCCAAGACGGAGCGGCAGGACAGGCGGGGAGGGCTTAGGAGGTGAAGTGGTAGCACCTGCTGATGGATCACACACGAGGAAGGAGACAGACCAGGACAGCCCCGCGGGGAGGACACAGGAAATGGGCGCAGTCGTGCTGGCGGGCTGGGCCTGCTGAGCGCGGGAGGAGGGAACACCGGGCTGTGGCGCCCGCCGCAGGGAAGATGAACCGCGCTTCTCACCGAGAAGACCACTCGGCGCAGAGATGTTACATGACTTCGCCAAGGTTGGAGCAAGTCAGGTGCCCAGGCTGAAGTGCACCTTGAGTTGGTCTAATTCTGAAATTCCTGCAAAATCCATGACACCAAAACGAGCGGCTAGGCGAGCGCTGGAGCCCAGGGCTGCGCTCGCGGGAGCAGCAGAGAACCCGCAGCCCAGGGGAGCCTGGTGTCACGGAGCCAAGGGGCTCAGGCGGGAGGAGGAGGTGACCGACAGTGGCCAGCACACAGATGATGAGACAGGCACCGGAGTTCATCAGACTCTGCACTCAAAGTCACAGGTGGCTCTCACGGAACAATCCGGAAGAATGACAGGCGGAGCCTCCTCTGAATGGGTTAAAAGCCAAAAGGACACAGCGAAGCGAGGACGCAAACGTCCACTGGGCACCTCCAGTGTTCGCAGGGCTGTGCGTGGTGCGACCCACGCACAGCCCCCCACACGTGCTCGTTCTTCTTCAGCAGCTTTGGGATCTCAGAGACACAGTTTCCCCAGGATAGAAACCAATGGTACACGTTTAAAGAATGATGTCACCTACCGCTGGTTCACAAAGGGGCTGGACAGCTCTGCGAGCAGGCGGAAATTCCCGATGTACTCCAGCACGCTGCGTTTCTGGGCGATGAACACGAAACAGTGTCAGGGCTGACATTCTCATTAAAGTGTCCAAACATTGAAAAACACTCAGTAGCTCCACAGCATAAAATAACGACCAATCCCCAAACAGGTCTAGCCTGTGAAGCAATCCTCTTCTCGATGAGAACTGGTCAATGTCATTACGAAGCTATGACCTTGTGAAAGACAAGTGTACTGTGCACGTATGTTCACTTGTAAACACAGATCTCAGCCCTGGCCGGGCGGCTCGTGGTTGAAGCCCTGTCCCAAACACCAAAAGGTGGCAAGTTTGATCCCCAGTCAGGGCAAACACCTCTCTCTCCATGTACACACACACACAAAAAACACACCTCCCTTAAAAAAAAAAAAAAAATCAATAAACTGACTTTAGGCAGCTGTTTCATGCTGACTGAAGAATTCTGCAAATAGCCATTAGTGTCAGCGTATAAACTACAAGAATATACACACATTGTCCATCATTATCTCTAGAAAATCAGACCTAGAAAACGTTGTATTTACCAAGCCTTATATTTCTACACACTCAGAATTTTTTTTTACAAACATCTATATTCAGACCAAAATGGCGATTAGGAATGAACACAGCCACCGTTCCACTGCCCAGGTTGCACTGCTGGTTTACCACGGGGGAGTGCGCCTGAGTTGTCAATAGTATTTTGTGTGCTCCGTCACTCCCTTGCCACCCCCACTCCCTTAGTTCAAAACCACCGGTCAGCTCCCTGCGTGCCCGAGTAAGCATCAGGGGCAGGTGCCCTGCAGGGCACAGGTGGCTACGCCCCAGCCCTCAGGCTCTGTGAATTCCTGGTACCTTGTCCCCTCTCTCCTTCTCCAGAAACCTACTGAAATACCACTGCAGATGCTATTAGAGGGATAGGTTTAAGTTGCTCTAGTATCTTTAAATAAGTAAATTACAAATGTCGATACTTGATGGTCAGTCAAGGATGGCAGGCACAGGTGCATCTGGTCAGCGGGGGCTTCCACACCTGCCCTCCATCTTTAAGAAGCTTTGCCTAGAACGAGCTAGGAATAGACTTACTCATAAATGCATCTGGAAAGACAGATAAATAGCAGCAGCTACACGATCCTAAAGGTTTTGAGTGAAAATTCAAGAAATTGGGGCCATCTGCCTTTCTCAAAGTTTATGATTCCAAACAAGTGCCCTAACACAAACACCCAAGGGAAGTTATTCTTTTTGTTAACAGACGAAATAACACAACACAGGAGGGACCCTTGATGTGCCTGGAGTTGGTCTGTATGAACTAAGAGTGCCATGTGTACATGTGTATACATGTAAGTCCCCTATGTCCCCCATCTCCCCTTCCACCTGCCTGCTCGCTGGCACTGTGCACCCCGGCACTCACCAGGATGAGGAAGAAGGCATACAATGATGTGCAGTGGTGAATTACGAAATATTTGTCACCGATTACTTTCCAGTACAAAATGATAGTCAACAAGTCTGTAAGAGGGAAAAACACAGACATTACCCAGGAGGAAAGCGCTCGTCCTAGCCTGGAGCCCCGGGGCTGCTCTCCACATGCCCCGCTCCCCACGGCCACCACCACCTCCGAGCCACAGCGCTCGTCCTAGCCTGGAGCCCCGGGGCTGCTCTCCACGTGCCCCGCTCCCCACGGCCACCACCACCTCCGAGCCACAGCGCTCGTCCTAGCCTGGAGCCCCGGGGCTGCTCTCCCACGTGCCCCGCTCTCCACGTGCCCCGCTCCCCACGGCCACCACCACCTCCGAGCCACAGCGCTCGTCCTAGCCTGGAGCCCTGGGACGTACTTTCCCAAAAAGCCTCAGCTCCCACCCAGCTATGAGCCGCCTGCGGGGCTGCCCCAGCGCGAGCACCACTGGGCATCAGGATGGTGCGGCCCCCAGCTGTGTGTACCCTTAGAGCATGAATGAACACCAGAGTTCCAGGGCTAAATACAGTGAAAATACTGTCCCTGAGTAAACAATTTTAAAATAAGCACTATAATAATTCGAATAGAGGAGATGGTCGCATAAAAGGTAAAAATGACCAACTCATTTGTAACACAAATTCAACAGCACATATTAAACTTGAACAAAGCATGTGACTAAATATTCGTCTGGAAGAGCAAGAGGCCACCGAGAGTGAGGACTGCTGGGCAGAGACAGGAAAGAGCTCCAGATCTGTCTCCCTTCAAACATGTTCTGACTCCAAACAGTGGGTTCAGAGGAGTTCCTTCCACAGAACAGGACCTCCTGGTGCTGACATGACCCCGAGGGGGAGCATGGGCCGTGGGCAGACACCAGGCAGGATCAGGTCCTGTAGGGCTGGAGTCTATAACACAGGGGCACAGTCCTTTACCAACAATAAATAAATGACCAATACCCAACTGATGTGGACATTTACAAAGAGAAAAGAAATCATCAGGCTACAAGTTTTAAAGAGAAAACAAATGCTACAAATGTGAAAATCACTGAAGAGAACACCCTCAGTGACTGATGGCCACTGACCCTACCTAGACACATATCCTGGCTGTCTACTCTCTGGTCGTCAGTCTGCAGGACAATGACCTTGCAATATTTTCTACAGAGAGAATAAAAATAACTCACTTTTTGTTCCACTTGGTTTAGGAAAGTTTGTTTCGGTTCCTAACTCTGATTGGTAAAGCGTTTCAGATTGGACTCTTATTTGGGAAAACCCTTACAAGCTGCCTTCACTGGGGATCTCCCAGCAGCGACTCAGAATAGACAACGCTGCGTGCGGCACGGTGCACAGCACGTGTCCTCACCGGCACGGTGCACAGCGCGTGTCCTTGTTGGCGACAGTGTTTGTGTCAGAAGAGTTTGGTCTTCATCACTGCGTTCACATGACTTACTCTTCTTTCCACTGGGCCACCCCACCATCTGATGGCCTCCTCCCTATTTTTACTCAAAGCATCTCTCTTCCTCGAGAAGATAAACCACCATGTTGGATATAACCTAACTTCTGATCACTTCCTGATGGCAGGGAATCTTCTGGTCCCTCACTCACCACTACCACTCCGGCTCCATAGTCCATTATTTTTACTTAGATTTCCTTTCAGTTGTGAATTAAGTTTGAGAATTACAAAACAGGGTCCTTGTAGAAATGCCCCCATGGCGGATCTGCTATGTCCCTCCTGTTTGATGGACAGCCCGACATGTCCTCACAAAGCAGCGGAAGGGCAGGGCCCGACTCCCCTTCCCGTCGTGTCCCTGTGCGGAGGCTGCTCAAGCCCCGTCCAGCACAGGAACAGACAACACAGGAGGACGTAAGTGGAGAGATGCCATGATTTTGGCTTATTATGGCTAAAACAGCTTACTTTGCAAATTGCCCCAAAACAATACTCCATGGCCCTGGGGATGCACTTCAGGCCCTTGGAAGTGGGAGACTCGGAGGCTTGGACTGTTCACTTCGCAGCGGCTGCACCTGAGGGGCTCTGCAGGCCGAAAGGGACCATGGCTAGTGAGCCTCGCCCAGGAAGCCCCACGCTGCGGCTCCAGCCCCACAGGGACCACGGGCTGACGGGACAGCGTGCTCCTCTGTGGGTCCTAAATACACTGAGCGAAGCACAGACTGTCTTCCTTGCACCGCTCCAGAGGGACTGTAAAAGGACAGTGAAAACACCACGTACCAGAAAGGAGGTAGCCTGAAGCAATGGCAACGTTCACTTTCGCAACCGATGAATCACCCCTATAAATATTTTTGAAAAAAAGTTCCTGATTTTAGCACATGGGTTATAGATGACAGCTACTTTTCTCTACCGAGACTTAAACATGATCAGGGTGCTTTGCACAGACTCTCGGCCAGTGACCTGATGTTTGCACAAAGCACGGTGTTGCTATGACAGCACCGCGACAGCCCTCGACAGCCCTACTTTCCTACACCCATTAGTCAAAAGGTTCAGGGAAACAGCTGTACCAAAAGACAATGTTTTTTAAGTGTGTTCTCGTGATTTGAGAAAAGATTCAAGTGGAATGCTGATTTTTTTTTGATTCCTTATTCTGAATCAGAAACTCAACCTCAAGGAATCGTCTGGCCTGCCCCTGACTGGAGGTGGCTCGCTGTCATCATCATCACTTTACAGGGCACTGGAGGGACTCACCTGTCATCCACGTCAGGACCTGGTGGAACGGGACAGTCCCATCCTGCCGTGCAACCCCTCCACAGGACAGAACCCTACACTCTTCCCCATTGATGCTCCGCACCCCGAGACACACACACGAGGACCAGTCCCTCATCATCAGATTTGTAAAGTGAATACTGGAGACAAGAACCCAGAAGGAAACTCTGGCAGCTCTACCACGGCTGGAAGAGGCTTGGCGCCCTCTTCTCACATCAGATCTGCAGGCAGACCTGGAGTGCAGATGGCGCTGAAGGGAATCAAACGTTTCACAAGCTGTAATGGGTGAAAGATTCCTAAGGACACACACGGATCAGCAAAGCAAATCGTTGTTATAAAAGTCACTTCCCAAAAGGACTGGTTCTGTGGACAATCGTGTTTGTGAAGTAAAACTATGAAAAGAAAAAAAGAGCTAGAAACTGTTTAGGTAGATTATATAAAAACCTAGTCCAGGAATTAAATTTGCTAAGTGGATTCAGTTCAGGAAACATCTTCCCAGTGAAAATCTATCAACAGGGCAACAATACCACCGGGCGTCCTTCCGTGCTGACGAAGGGAGACGGTCAGACGGAGGAGCCTGTGCTGCTTGCACAGCGTCCGGTCTCCCGAATAAGCCGAGTCTGCCCACAGAATGCCGGGAAGTGGTTTGTGAAATTCCTGCCACTGGGATGACATTCACACTTCTCAGGAAGAGCCACCTTACAAATTATCCCATCAGCACTGGGCACGGTCGTCGGGTCTTCAAATGCCTGTCTATGGAACTAACTTCCTCCCGCGTGGGTATTGTTAATTCTCATTTCCAAATCTCTGATATCAGATGGTGGGCCGAGCACACATCTGAGGCCTGTCCTGTCTCAGAAATGACTCGCTCAGAGCAGTGGTCATGAGGACTGGGCTTCACTCACCGGTGCAGCACACGTGCACACCGTCAGCCTCCTGTTTTGGGGTAACAATGGCGATGCTAAGGCAAAATGGCACTTGGTGTTTGTGTGCAAATCTAAAATGAGTCACTATGGTGCACCATGCTGAAACAGAACTGAACACCATCGTTCTAGCAAACTGGAAACCATCAATGTGTTTTCTGTTTCAAAGCAAAGCAGGAGATGTCCTGATTAATAACTGACGTCCACATGTAAACCACACTGACTGTACTGGAAAGAAATGGCTTACCAGAGTGGGTCTGAAATGGTAGCCTCATCGAACAAGAAAACGTACAGGCCTAACAGCCCAACCAGCAAGGAATGGCAAGTAGACACCACCCTGAAATGAAATGAAACACAGATGCAGATTTCAGATTCTTTGCAGTAGACTTTAGTTCTGGCAAGATAGTTAACACTCTGGCGAAGCTGAACCTGGAGTCTCTGAGGCAGAACTGGAGACCACAGGAAGGCACGCAGAGCGGCCGCGTGGGAGCCCAGGGCCACACGTCGCTGTGTACATAGAGCTCTGTGGCTCCCAGTGGGCACGTCGCCGAGACACCTACTGGTCGAAAGCTTCAGGGCAGAAGCAGAGCTGACGCTGCAGAGGACCTTTGTGTGGACAGGTGGCAACTGGCGAGCCGCCGCCTGCGTCACCATGGGGTTCGGGGTGCTTTCACGCTCCAGGAGCGAGGAACGACTTCCACATCTGCCGGCCTCCACCATCCTGCTTCTGAACCGGAGCCCAGAGCCCGTGGCTCGTGCTCCCACACCACTGCCTGCCTGCAGGCGGGAGCGCTGTCCACCTGGAGGGGCTGCCAACCGGAAACCAGGACCGTGAACCGACACACACAACCTTTTGGTGAAAGAAACGCCCAGCGGAGAGCAAAACGCTCACAAGATCCAGATTTTCTTTGATAGAAGGAATAAGGCTGAGATGAAAAACATCTGTTTCTAGGAGCACATCTTGCTAATAATTGAATGACTCAACTTGTCTCTGAGCTCTAGGATATGCTAATAAGAAATAAATATTTTTTTACTCTTCATTAGCATAAAGGATGAGAGGAGGAACAAAATTTTCCCTTTAGAAATTAATGATGTGCAATGAATTTCTCTCTACGTGACCCCAAACTTTTAAAAGTGAAATATATCAACCAAAATGAATCTTGACATTAGAAAACAGTACTGAAACTTGAAAAATCAATATACCTGATCTAATAAATAATGTGGTCCTAAACATATGTCAAGTTAAATCCAATCATATTATCAACACTGAAAGACTTATACCAATTTAAAGACAGTGACAAAGATTCCTGTGTAATACACACGGAAGGGTCACTTTGAAGTGTGAGCAGTTAACCCGGTCTATCTGGTTTACAAGGTGGAGTTCATGCCAAGCGCCCCTGTAATTTCATTTGAACACAGCAGGATGAAAGTGCTAAAATCCTTGGTGTCATACGAAGCCCTCCATCTAAATAATCGTTCAGCCTTCTGCTGCCACGCGAAAATCCTATGAAAAAAACAGAACCTCTCATGACCCTGTTGTAGTGTTTAGTAACCTGACATAAAAAAAATTTCTTTTGGAAAAATGTAACTTTTTGTTCCTGATGCTCAGGCGTTGGTTCCCTTCTCTGCTGAGGAGCTACGTGCTGAGTGGGAAGAATCAGAGGCCTCCAGAGAGAAAAGTTCAGTGTTGCTGGCATCAACAGCTCCCACTACAAAGAACAGGACGAGCAAACACCCTGTACCTATACTTGGTACTCTGTAGCAAAGTCTATTTGTCCAGAAACTGCTGTTGGTAAAATTTCGTATTTAATTCTTGGCAAAGCAAAATGTAGACAGATGTCTAAAAGAAAATACCAAAATCTACCCAAGATAAAATATTTCAATTTCTTTTCCAAAGAGGGTTGTAAAGGATTTATTGTACTTTTAAAAAGATAGTGCTCTACTTCGAAGGAAATAATAACCATTTTAGAATTGTAATTTTAAGCCACTCACTTAATCACCCACAAGTGCTGTGGAGTACCAGAGAAACTGTAGCTCAGACAGAAGAGCTCCATTTTGGAGAAGCTGATCTGAAATTAGGAGTACAAACTACAGGAGGGCTTTGTATACTACAGGGAAGCCAGTGGACATCGTGGTGATAAAATAATGACTCTAAGTATGCATGTCTTCAGATAAACAACAGTAAAGTAGAGCAGTCTCTCACGAACTAAACTGTCTCTCTCCGGTGTGCCTTTCCCTCCCGCCCTCTCGTGCTGGACGAAGGCCACTGGGCACTCAGACTCTGTCCTGCTCACTGCGGAGAGTGCAGGGCTGGCCGACTGGTCTGTCTGCTAATAGGAAGCTGGATTTCAAGATGTGTACGTGTCCTTCCCCCAAAAAGCAGCCACTTTCTTTCCCTTCCGTGCTCTCTCCAGCTCCCAGCCTGTCCACGTGAACCCGTTCAGTGGGGAACAGGACTACCTCAGCGTGACGCCATCCGAACAGCGCAATGAATCAAAGATCATCCCGGCTCCTTTCTGCAGTGGGAGCTCAGTGTCCCGGCAGTGATCCCGAGTGCTCTCCCTTCCGTCCCTTCGTGGCCTCTCCCTCCCTGCTCCTCTCTCCCTGCCTCCCCAGTGCCCGGCAGCAGCTCCCCGGACTCCGGTGCCTTCGCCCCTCTCCCCGTGGTGAAAACAGCCACAAGTTCAGCCACAGACAACGCGCGTCTCCGGCACTGTGTTCTCTTCCCTACTCTCTCCTCCTGTTGGAAAGGGTTTGAAAAGCAAAGGCTAGTATCTTTTGTACTTGGCAACTGAACAATATCTTTGTGCTATTCTTAAGACAAACTCCAGCTCTTATTTTTCAAAAATACATGGAAAAAGAATTCTCACTTTTTGGATGAAAAGAGTGGCAGCCTGTGTGAACCAGACAAGACTTCTCCAAGACTTTGGCAAGAATCTGGCAGTTTCAGAGACCTGCTGAGTCCATTTCACAGTTGGCATCAACTCCAACTAAACGACGACAGTGTTCCTTCCCACAGCACACACACACAAAAGTTGCAACTAACTATCACAACTTCCTATATCTTTACATGTCTTGTTCACTTTCCATTTATTTTTGTTTAAAAAAATCAAAAAAGCAGTTTTTACTTCAGAACTATAGAACAAAGGCATCGATTCCGGAGGCTCTGGATGGTAAGGAAGAGCCACTGCGAGAGGAATGCCCGGTGGCCTGTGTGGCAGTCGCCTGCCTGCGGGCCCAGCCCGCCCGCACTGCAGACAGGCTCTGGGCCCAGCCCACCGCCCACACTGCAGACAGGCTCTGGGCCCAGCCCACCGCCCACACTGCAGACAGGCTCTGGGCCCAGCCCGCCCGCACTGCAGACAGGCTCTGGGCCCAGCCCACCGCCCACACTGCAGACAGGCTCTGGGCCCAGCCCACCGCCCGCACTGCAGACAGGCTCTGGGCCCAGCCCTGATCCCCTTTGCTGTCACTCGCGAAGCTCGCTGCTGGTTGGCATCAGTGTTCGGGAAGAATGCAAAGCAACCCCCCACCGTCAGCTGCAGTTGGCTTCACCTCCCCACACTCCCGGGAAGCCAAATACATTTTTCCTACAGTCTTTCAGCAGAAGACATTTTAGACTTTTTCTTGTACGAGATCTATCTACTTGTCTTTTCTTTCATTCCTAAGGTCAAATACAACATTTTGAGCTTAGATTTTCAAAGATTCTAATGAAAGATTTTTTTTTTTTCAACTGAGTTTTAAAGAGAGAGGGAGGAGAGGGAGGAGAGGGGCAGAAACACCGAGGGCTGCCTCCCGCACACACTCCAAGATCAAACCGGAAGTCCGGGCCTGCGCCCAGACTGGGAATCAAACCAGCGACCTTTCAGTGTATGGGCCACTCAACCACTGAGCCACACCAGCCAGGGTTGAACAAAAGACTTTTTAGAAATATTTTAAATAATTTTATTTCATAAACTAGCTTTTTGAAAAACCCATCACATTTTCCTAAGCTTTACCTTGAGTTCCATTCTATCTTCTTTTCAGAACTGAGCGTGCTGAAACCTGGACACACCTTGGCTGAAAACCGGTAACTTACAACGTGGAAAAGAAGCTGAAAGGCACACAGGCTGGAGACCATGGTGCTGACGACCAGGGTGGGGGTGTCCATGTTTCCCCAACCTGTTCAGAGAAATGAGGGCTGTCAATTGCTTTCAACTGCTCATGATAAATCTAAACTAACTTTCTAATTTTAAAAAGCATAGGATTGTAGCTTTAGTAATTTATTTTAATATGGTGCAAATGTTGGAATACAAAGAAACTATAAGAACCTTAAGCCTCTGCCAGCAACGCAGCATATATCTTATAGTTTTTGTATGAAAAAAAAAGGAGGGACCTGTCATCTTAAAGATCTCAATGTTATAAATTTCAGGAGACAAATTTAACATCACAATATTCAAAATTATCCGAGTCTTTGACATTAAGAGGGAATTTCAAGTGCTATAACTGAAGTATTCTTTTCATCTCCAGTTAAACTTAAGACGAGGCACCTGACTTCTCTATGCCTCGATTTCCTGTTTAAAATGAGAGATGGTCCAATAATTTCTAAGAAACAATTAAGCCAAAAATCATAATAGAACTAACATCTGCCATAGCACAACAAAATATAATTGCATAATAAAAACTAGTTTTACAGTAGAACAAACAACATTTAAAGCAAAATCCAAACCTTAAAAAGAATATCCCCTGGGAAAAGAACATAGCATGGTTTGAATTCGTATTTAACTTGTTTTCCCCTAATTCTGCACTCACACGTATCCCTGGACCAAAATCCTCCTCTCTAAGATAAAAGACTTTCATAGCAGAGCTTCTTCAGATTTAAGGATAGAGTTCATGAAAAGAACAGCAATATGCATACAGGCACTTTCAAAGTCTGTTTCCTCTCAGAGCTGAACTTTGTTTGGCTCCTAAAAATCTTAGGAACATTTAGACCCAAAAAGAGGAGACTAAAGCGTGTGCTCCTACCCAGAGAACACGCCTTTCTACAGCGCCTCCCTCGACAGGTGCCGACCTTGACTGAAAAGGAAATGAGTCAATGGAAGTCAATCCCACCTCATCATCCCCTCCAAACCAGGACTTCACAGTTAGCTCGAGTCCTGCACAGGGCCCTCGGACAGAACCCATGTGGCTGCAATGAATTATTTCCTCTCTTTTTTCTGGTTTGTGTGCTCAGCGAAAATCCTGATATTACAATTCTTCTCCCTGCGATCCATTAACATTATTGCTCGCTTATCTTTTTAAAAAATGTGTTTGAGTATTAAAAGTTTTAATTTGTTTAATGTTAACCAAATAATATATCAAAGTAAGTTTTGTATATAATTTATACTTAATTATGATTTTCTAAGTGAGGCAGAGAAGGATAATGTCTTCCTAAGATCAAAGCAAACTGGGGTCTGGAGGCCATGTGAGCAGATCATGAAGAACATGAACCAGGAGCCACAAGCAAGTAGACCACCTAATTTTAACTACGATTGGGTGAAGAATATGAGTAACAACCTTAAATACAAGGAGGGTTGGCCCTGGAGAGTCTGTGTGTTCCCCAACGGTCCTGGAGGGTGGCCCGGCACTGGCTACTCATTTACTCTTGTTAAAATTTAACATAAATAGTGAGCATTTATTTCACGAATGTTTGCTAAAAGCTATGCTGTAAAGCACACTGGGAATCATGCAACATTATCCGTTTTATGAACTGCTCATTTCACTGTACATTTTTCTAAAGTACCCCATTAAGAAAATCGTCATTCCTTAAAAAGCTAGTTTTTCTTAAGTCTTAGTTCTGCTTTTTATTTGGAGTTTTCAGCAGACATGCTCTCAGTTCACTGGGGTCTGTGGGGTGTGCATACGCCGAGTCCTGCTTGAAAACGAGTCTCGCTGACAACGGAAGGCCCCACGGGTCGCGGCCATGGCTCCACCAGAGGCTCGGCAGACACGAGACTGACACAACCCTTCCGGCCAGAGCTCCTGGCAGCATCTGCTGCTTCATCAGTTACGCCCGCTCAAGGAGGAAGCCAGGGATTTTCACAGAGCGCCCCGAATTCTGGCAGGAAGCAATTCCCCTGCCCATTCACGGAGTCCAGCGGGAAAACGGTACAAACTGAGAAAACGAAACCGTGCTCGTGACTCGAGAGTACGGCCCCCGAGAGTCTGGTCAGGGCGCAGTGTAGGACACACAGCGGAAGGAGAGACGTGTGAGACCCCTCACACATGCTGCGTGGGGCTGGTGGCCGCAGAAGGCCAGGACGCAGAAGGCGTGTGTCTAGACCCAGACGTCACAAGACTGTGGACACCAGAGCCTCCCGGACATGACGACGTCTGCACTCCCCCCCACGGCGGTTTCCACGCACACTTGACCTCCAGCTGCTGTGCCAGTGCGGACCTGAAAAGGTTTGAAGTAGCCTCTCCTCCGCTGGCTGCAGGTGTGCCGCCAGTCCCTGTCCTCACCAGTGCCGTGTTCCAACCCCCCAAACACATCCTCCCTCCCGTGCAGAGCCTTCGCCCCAGCCCACACATGTCCTCAGCCCTGCCCCCATCCCGAAGGACCTCCTAGCCATGCAGAGGCCCAGGCTTCCTGAACAAGTGTCCCTTCGTCCGGAATGGCACCTCAGCTCACCTACCGGGGACCTTCACTTCTCTCTCACTCATCATTTTTCTGCCTCCAAAATAACATGTCAAGTACTTCCTTGGTTGAGCTTCCTTCAAGCGTGCTCAGTGCACAACATTCTCAAGTCCATGGCCACCCAGCTGGTCCCCACCCAGGAGGCCTGTCCCTCTTCACCCCGCTTAGATCCTAAAGGCCATCCTTCCAGCAACCCTCTGACTTCCCTCCCCACTGCCAAGAGCTGGCCAACCCCACCCCTGGATGTGCCCAGCCGATCCGGCGAGGCACGCCGGACAATCGGAGCACTGTTGGGAAAGGCACATACCGGGAGCCAGGCCGGGAGAGGTTCCAGGGGGTCGCACGGCCCTTAGCACCGCCCACCCCCTCGCGCTGTCCAACCAACCCTCCCACACCACGCTGATTTCCCAAAGCGCCCTCACTGCAACCACGCACATATTTGTGTCTTATTTACAATGGTCTGTTTCATTGTGCGTGGCTGCTGAGGTCAGTGTCTGTGGGCCTGACAGTGATGGTGAGAAAGGCCTTGGCCCAGCCTCCAGTGGGGCTCCGCTGGTCCCTACCCCAGCCAGCCCGAGTCTCCCCTCAGGAAAGCAGGAGCTCATTCTCCAGGGCTGTGGGGCTCAGAGTACAGACGACACATTTTATTTACTTGATAAATGTTGCTTCCTAGCTTCTCACCCCACTGAAAACTTTTATAAAGAAGTCTTTGTTTTCGAAACCTCTGAGTTCCAAAGACAGCCACTGGGTGTCGGAGAGACGAGCCACCTCGAGCCACGAGACAAGTCACTGGAGGGCCATGCAGACACAGTCACTGTCAGGGCTTGGACACCCATACGCTTTGCAAGCCCATCTGTAAGAACATCAGCAGTTCACATACAGCGCTTCCCAGGCCTCAGGAGGCACTTGTGTGAGGGAGGGCCCTGAGCTGAAGCAGAGTGGGACCACGGGGACCAGGGCAACTTGTCACCTGGGGGCTCGGGAAGAGAAGGAAGTTCTGCAGCCATCCTCTCCCCGACTCCTGATGGGCGTACTACAGGGGCCCCGCTTGTCCCTGGCTGGGGTCACAGAAGGAGCCTCTTGGCTTGGTTCACTGTTTGGTTTTTGCCAACACTGTGAAATCAAGGAAAACCTGGACAGGGCTAGATTTTTCCAAATATGTTTTGTTCTTTTTTCAAAGGAATCACTGGGACACCTGCCAAGCAACCCAGGAAGTCAGAACCTAAGGAGACAAAGAAGGCCTTCTCACCTCCAAACTGCTGGTCTGATCACCTCCGAGAAAGTCCCTGAAGCTCGGGGATGCGGCTGAGAGGGGTTTTGCCAACCTGCTTCTATGCCTCTCTTGTCTGCTGGCTCTCCACATGAAACAAGAGAGAGCACTGAGCAGGTTCCAGGGGCGGAAGAAAAACTGAGCAAATCTCTCTGTCCCGTCCAGTTCTGCAGACAAATTCCATTCAGCCAGAGAGAGACCTAGAATCCAACCCTAGCCCAGTCCTTAGCAAGTGGCCCAAACACGCAGAGCATGGCCTCCCAGATCCACGAAGGCCTACACCCAGATGGGCCCAAGTTAGCTGCCCTGGCACGGCTGCCACCACGGTAGGTCATGAATGGCCGTGAATTGCTTTGCAACAGGACACTGCCACCGCTGTCACCCATGGTGAGGCCTATGTCTCTGCCTCCAGGAGTCTGGGTGGGCCTTGCACCCTGCTGACAATGCACGGGAAGAGAGGCTGGGAGGGTTCGGGAGCCCAGGTAGCCTCAAAAGACCTAGAGCACCTGCCCCCCCCCCATTTGGTATTGCCCGGGAGACTGCCAGCTGTCCAGTGTGCCAGAGGGTGAGCGGCCACAGGAAAAGCCCAGGCTGCCTCACTGACAGCCTCCCCCTCCCCCCCCCGCCCAGCTGCCCCTCCAGCAGGAGACAGCCACGAGTGAGCCTGTGACCAGCTGAGTAACTGCCCAGCCACCCACAGAATGAGGAGGGATAACAAATAATTGTTTTGAGCCTCTAGATTTTGGGGGTGGTTTGTTATTGAGCAATAGATCCAAACACTGTCAACAAAGGTACAGCGCTCCTTACACCCTTTCCTCACCAAGGAACACTGCCCTCCCTCTCCAGCGCACCGTCCTACAGGGCAGGACAGCTGGTCTGAGGCCAGGCGACCATCCCCCCTGACCTAGCCGTTGCCTGGAGGCCCCGCAGTTCATCTACACCTGGGACCTGACGGAGTCTGGCGGCTTTGGACGTGGTTGCTTGTCTACCTCCAGGAGGCGGCCACTACCCCACACTGCGTCCAACTTCACTGTCTCCCCTGGACTTGGTGCTTCTGTACAACTCAGGACGGAGTTTGACACCATCTTGGGGCCAAAAATCTAAATGCACGGACACATTTCCTTGAATCACTTCATAGGCCAGTGAGGTGACGTGGCGGCATCAGGTGACCTCAAGTTTAAAGTGTACTGCAGACCTCATGCTTCAGTGCAGGCTGTCCTATAAAAGGACCTGGGC